AGAACTATAACTATGGTTGTTTATATGACTGAACCGTACTGGAGTATTGTAAAACAATGAGATGAATCTCATTCTGTTTTGGTATAAAAGATGTAAAGTTGGCTGATAAAGGGGTATTGTGATAAACATAGCAGCCGCACACTGTTCTCGTATGTCATCCGTTTTGATGAAGATGATACATTTAGCTTGGGTGCTATGTGATGAAAATGGTGGTGTTAACTTGCTCTTGTCTATTGTTATCATGCGATGTTTTCTTGACATTGTTTTTGCCTGATTATAGTTTGGGTTAATTACTACTAGTATTTCTTTTTTTGGCATTTATTTATGCTATTGCAAATTATCCTTTGATGTAGTAATGGGATTTTTTTGTATTGTTTTTTTTGAAAGGGTAGTAATGGGATTTATTATTTGAATATGTATATAATTTGTTTTCATTTTATCCTATGTTGTTTAGTGATGTATATGGTTTAATGTTCACAACAAGACTTGTTTTTTGTCTATTTTTTAAAGACACCGCATTATAAACGTATACGTATTTAAACATTTTAAAAGTCAACACATTCTAGAATGAGTGTTTGACCACTTTTTTTAGTTCATGTTACCTTGTTGTAGTAATATAGTTATATAATAATGACTAAAGGGTCAAATAGGTCCTTGTAGCGGTTGTGTAAGCCCAATTCAGTCTCTGAACTAAAAAAAGATCCTAATTCATACTCCGAACCGGCAAGAAAGGGTTCGAATTTCATTTTTAAGGTTAAACAACCGGGGGGAAAGGTCCAATTTGCACCCCTAAGTTATTAAAAATTGTCAAAATTGCAATAAATCCTAAATAAAAAAACAGAAACAATAAAAAATTAAAAAAATGACCGGTTGTTAACTCGCAAAAATGAAACTTGAACCTTTTTTTTGTATGTTTGGGGTCTGAATTGAACATTTTTTAGCTCAGGGATTGAATTGAAATTACATGATCGGTACAGAGGCCTATTTGACCTTTTAGTCTATAATAATAAGAGGATCCAATGTCCTATAAACGTTCATACAAAATGAACATAGTGAATGATACATCCAATTTACTATGTTTGGATATACCAAGTGGAGAATAACATATGTGCTATGAAAAGACACACGTGGTGGACAAGAGAATACAAAATGATGTGATTGACACATCAAGTTTATAAGAGAATCCAATGTGCTATGGATAGACACACAAGTTGAGAAGAGAATTTAAGCTCCAATGTGTTTGAAATGAGTTCATCAAAAAACTTAAAAAAAGTTAAGGATTTTTATTGCATCAAAATGTGTATTTTTTATTGCATACTTATACAGAGAAAAATTAACAGAAAAACATTACTTATAGTAATTTAATTAGTGTTTTACTAAATTGATATGTAAAAAAATATGTTGAGTGTATTTTATCCACGGTGCTGGAATGTAGAAAAGTAAGAGTTGACACTGTTTTCATATGGACGAAGTTTATTTTTAATATTTTAGCTTCTCCACCACTTCAAACGGTCTAAGAGTTGCTGCACATTTTTTAGCTGCGGTTTACTATTACATCTCATCTAGTATGAATATGAATATTTGATTGTGCTCTTGCCAGTTTTAGTGATTGCTTACGTTGTTTATTAATGCGAGATTTGTACTTAAAGTAATTGTGATTTGTGAGTAACATTCCATTAGTATCAATGTGATCGTTGAAGACATTTGAGATTCTTTGTATTGGTTATAGTCCTCTGATTCATGTGCAAGACATCAGAAATCTTTTGTGAATTGTACGGAGTAGTTTTTTTCTATCTTCTTTCATTTGTGTGAGTTCAATTATAAGTACTACAATGCTCTTAATTTATTGAGTTTTGTGTCATGCTCTTTATCATATTATCCTTTTTGTCACACACATGCACACATATTCTTTTATCTTTTTTATCTTATCATTTTTATCTTCATCTTTTAAATCTTTATTTTTATCTTATACCTTTTATGTTACATTATCTTTTTATCTTTTTCCCCCCTTTTTGGCTCCGATATCATTTAACGATTCATGTTGGTCACCTCCCAAATTTATTTTGACCAAGGCCTGTATGTAGGAGCGAATATTGTGAGGGCAAGGGTGGACTCCAGCCAAACCCCTTTTTTGTGGCAAGACCATTGTTTTAATTAGTATAGGGGTAATTCTATTTACAGTTACGAAGTTACTAGTCACAGTCCCTTAATTAAATTTAAATAAAAATAATAATGTTAAACATCTATTTTGCCCTTCAGTCCATCCACCGCATCACTGGTGACGCATTCGCAACATTCCGATAAATGGGTGGCTCTACTCTGGTAAATCACTGTTTTCTAACAAATTTTAGCCGCATAGAAATTACGATCCAAGGAAGAAGGATTGCTATTTCATCCTCATCGCCTCCTCCAAAACACCAAACTTTTTCCCCCAAAAGAATCATTCCGCTGTGCTAAACTAGCCGCTCCCGGAGTCCTCATGAACGATACTCATTATCAGCAGTGTTTCGTCGCCGATGTTCATGGCTGAGTTCATAGTTGCTGTCCACTCGATCGATCTAGATTTTTTAGAACAAGAGAAGAACGACACTTATTTCTAATTTTCACCGTTTATAATTTCTTGCTACCCCAACTCTTTATCCCTTCTACATATTTCATTTAATCTCAATATGTATTGTTAATCCGCCAACATAGATATACTCTAGCCATTCAATTACTTGAGATTCAATTTTTGTCATGGAACCAAAACAATCATCACATTCATCATGGTTCAGTTTGATTGTCACGCAAACAGAAGGATGGACAAACAAATCGAACAGAGACAAGATCTTCATGGTCTTCTTCTGAGTTCTAGAAGATTCAAACATCGGGTAAGCCATATGCAGGTAGAGCCATATAAGATTAGTTATTAGTACCAAAAGGACATAATAGGAATTATAAAAAGATTTTATCATTTACGAAACGCTCGTGCTCAGCGCACCTTCAATAAGGCTCCGCGCACCAATTTTTTAACAGAAGTGGACAAGTATATCCTGGTCAAACAATCAGACGCACTCCTCAATTCTAATTGTGTCGGGCGCACCCCACGGCCCCAAATACCACTTCAAACAATACGGAGTAGGTTTCAAACAATCCTTCACCCCACAAAACAATACCCACTTAAACTTCTTTCCAAAATTGGTTTCCAAATACCGAGTAGGTTTCAATCAATAATAACCACCGTTATTGCTTCTTTTTAAAATAAAAATAAGTTTTAATGTTTCCAAATTTTTGTGTAACATGTTTCCAAATATACTTAAATTCCTGATACAACTGGGATTAAACTTTTTAAATACCATCAAACAACTACTATATAAATATTTGGAACTCATTATTAATGTTTTTATAGTTTTTTTACAATCTTCTTATACAATGGAAAATGAATCTGAAAATTATCTAAAAAATAGTACTCTTGATTTTCGCACTTATGAGGTATTCATCTACCCCACTATCTATATCTCAGATCTTCTTTGTGATGTGATTCATTAAGCTTGTCGTATACAATATTCGTTAATATTTTGATGGTCATATATATACTTTTTCATTCATCTTTATATTGAATGATATTGTTTTTATTCTATTATCATATAACTAAAATATGACAATATCTAGGATGTTTTTAATTGAGATTTTTTTTAAAAAAATTACATACTCCCTCCATCCCATTTTGGTTGTCTTACTTTCCTTTTTGGGTTGTCCCAAAATGGCTGTCATGTTTCCCTTTTTGGTAAAAAACTTGTGGTTCATATTATTTCACTCCATTCTACTCAATTCTCAACCACAACTTTTACTTTTTAATCAATTTATTAATAACCGTGTCAAATACAAATGAGACCACCATTATGGGACGGAGGTAGTATATGATATGGGTGTCATTTGAAAGATCATAAAAAGATATTTAATTTGGTATAATTTTCATAAAAAATCGGAACAAAAATGAAAAAGTTATGACACTTTATAAAAAAAAGGAATTACTCAACACATGACAACATTTTAATGGATGCATATTTAATGTAAAATTGATATGGACAAGATCATAAGATGAGCCGAGCGTGGAGCTATCCTACGGAGGTTCGCAAAGCAATTTTCATTATCGTTTTAATGATAGTTAATTTTAATTAATAATTAAGAAGATCAAATTTGTCCAATCTAGGGTTACGTTAAGCAATTGTGGGGTGCACGAAGCAACACCCTTTACGAAAAATGTGTGTATGCTTAGCAAAAAAAAGTGAGTGTGAATAGAACCACCTTACTATGGGCCCGTTTGGTACGGTGTAAAGTAAACATTTTGAATGCAAAGTGTAGGAAAGTAAACGTTTTACACCGTTTGTTTTAAATATTTAATGTAAACTGTAGGACACTTTTTAAAAACAGTTTACACTGTACCATGTAAAATATTTTACGTGGGGGAAGAATAGTAAACTATTTTACATCCATTAATTTGGAGAATGAATAGACACCGGACCTTGGCTGTGAGGGAAAAATCTCGGCAAAAGCTAGGGTTTTCTCCAATACTTCGTGTAATAAAACAAAATCATGGTTTCATACCATCATGGACGAATACATTTCCATCTGTTGTAATACTTGAGTTAATACTTTAGGCACCCTGGTAATTTGGGTCTCTTCTTTACATCATGGTTTAATAATTTTCCCTCGCAGAAAAAGATCATCTACGGCAAATCTCACCACCATCGGCAAACCTCACCGTCATCATAAAAAATGGCAGAGTGTTCCAGGATTAGCTTATACGGAGTATACCTTATTTTATTTTATACGGAGTACTAATGTGTTAAACGATGTATAAAGTTTAACCTGCCAAACAATGTATTTCTATTTTACATGGAAAGTATTTTACCACCCTAAACTTTACAAGTAATCATTTTACATGCAAAGTTTTAATGTCTAAACTACCAAACGGGCGCTATATGTACACAAGTTTAATATGCAGCCCACCCTAAAATGAAAATTTTCCAAAAATTAACGTCCAACCCACTCCAAAATCAATCGTCAGCCCAATCAGCAAGTGCGGAACTGCGAAGACGAAGACAGTCACCAGTCGACCTGCGACCACACGCCGCGCCACCGCCCGCCGTCCACGCGTCCAGGCTCCTGCTTCGGCGTCTTTCTTCTCCGGTTGTCCGACTCTGTTCTGTGTGCTCTCTGCGGCTCTGCCTCCAGTTCCAGGCTTCTAGGTATACTCTAAAACTACGTACTATTTTAAACTTTTTTTCTTGATTATACATTGCATTCTTTTGTGAAACATTTTTAATCTATTTGATTAACACAGAGGGCCTGGACTATTTGTGTGATTTGTGTCATTGCGTTATACTACGTATTTGTTAAAAATTGTACTACCGTATTATTTGTATGGTTCTGTGACTTTTTGTTATTGTGCATTTTGTTTTTTTGCAAATCTATTTGATTATTAATTGAATTTTTTTAGTTCATAATAAAATAGTGTCTATCCATTATAAATTTATGTAAAATAATTAAAATACCCCAAACTTTGAAGGAGTATGAGATGACCGCCCCAAACTTGAATATGGATTTTAAATACCCCAAACTTTATATAAAAAGTTACTTTGGCACCATAGTCAAATATTATTTCTTTCAAAAATGTAAATTTATGGTGTTAATTGCATAATTTCAAATATTTTAGAATTTATGAAGACATATTTATGTAACATTATAAACTTCCATTGCGAAATAAATAATGTTACTCTCAATCTATATAATTGCAACAATTTTAATTTTCTATTTTAAATCATGCAATTAATCCCATATATTACATTTTTGAAAGAAATTATACATGGCAATGGTGAGAAAATAACTTTTTATATAAAGTCTGGGGTATTCACATTACATACGCAAGTTTGAGATGTTTAATTAACATCCTATCAAAGTTTAAGGTATTTTTATTATTTTTCCAATAAATTTATAATGATTAAAGATAGAATTATAGATCAGAGAATGATTTATTTATTATACAATTGGAGATTAGATAATGATTTATTGTGTGGACATGTAAGAAAGAATTAAAAATTTCAATTCATCATCATTCATCATCGTTACCCCAAGTCCGTTTCTCGTCCGTCTCTTTCTTTCTCCCATCTCCATAGCCGCATCTCTTTGTCTTCTCCCAAACGTCTGCCTCCAAATTCCAGATTTTGTCTTTCTCCTCTTTATAATAACCTTTGTACTATTTCCAAAGTGATAGAGTGTTGATACATACAAAATTGAATATTTACTGTCAAATACACATGCCTGCACCATGACTTTTATTATGGTATGAATTGTGAGAATAGATGTTTATACGTATTTGTTCGTTAACAAAGTAATGAATTTCAACTTCTCAATTAATTTTGAATGAATGAACACTAAAATAAAAACAGTTTTTAAAAAAGTGAAAATAAAAAACTGAAAACAGTTTTTGGTTTTCTGAAAACATAAAACATAAAACTCACAACCATACCGAACGAGCCCTTAGTGAGCCATTTTGATGTATTCCATCATATTCCCAAACCAAAAAATAGCGAGTCTTTGGCTCCATTTCATTTGAATTTTGAAATAGGGAATACTTATTAGTTTTATGTACACCGATCCTTTTTCTCTTATTAGTTTTACAATATTATAGAATTATTTAAATTCATACCAATCAAGCATGTAAAGATGACACTTCGTAATGGGAGATGTTTTTCTTAAAGATTCATTGATGATCCACATTGAACGAGATAATGTCAATAATATAGATTTAGATTCTATTATTGATGAATTTTATACTTTGAAGTCGTGCAGGGCACAATTTAAATGATGTTTTGACGTTTTTATGAATATTTAAAGTGTTGATGACTTGACGTATCATTATGTACTTCCTCCATTCTTTAAAAGTTGCAACATTGAGATTTTTGGACTATTCACACACTTTTGACTACGATTTTCTAATATTATATATAAGCAAATTATGTGTAAAATGTTATTAAATTTCTATTAATGCAAATTTCCGAAATATTAACTTTTTTTAATGGCTATTAATACATAATTAAATATAATTACACTCAAAGTTGTGCGTTGGCAAACATGAAAGTCAAACGGTTGCACCTTTTAAAGAACGGAGGATAGTATGTTTCTTTGAATTTTATTTCTTAGCCCACCCCATTGTAACTTTGTGGATCCGCCCCTGCTCGTATGTTGTTGTTGTGTTCGTTCAACATTGAGAATTGAAGAAAACAGTGATTAAGTTCTGTTTTTTTATTATAAATTGTCTGTTTTTGTTGATTTTTTTAATGTTTTCTACATAAACATCGCGTCGATTTTGAAGGGGGGCTGTTCCAAACTAAATTACTATATATAGAGATACATGGATAAATAAACTGGGAATGTAAAAAATTACAGTGTCCAATTTGATTACCCTGACTCTGTTATGGTTAGCCTGCCTTTGTCAGTAGCTCAAGCCTCAAACTTAGCCTATGTCATTGTATATAGGCTTTCCCTCACAAATAGAGGCGGATATGAAGAGGGGTCTCCAAATTTCATTGAACAAAACCCAGAAGATTAGGCTGGAGAGAGCAGTGGAACTGTTGGAGTCATTCTCATCAAAAACCAACTCCAATGCCTCAGTAACTGTTTCTGATGTCATTCCCATTGACTGCGAAGATGGTGTTCTGAAGTACGTATATATATTCACTAGGGGTTGGTAGTTTTTTTCCATCTTAGCCCTGCTCCCATGTAGTTCCACATGGATTATATGTGTAATAATGCACACATAAAATCTATTTACATGTAAATATGTGCATGCTAATATATACCTACATACAGAACATGGTTTGTCTGCGATCGTGTGCTTGTTCAAATATCTATATTTTGCTCATACATGTGCTATATTGTATTAAAAATTGTTCAAAGTGATACTCCCACCGTCCCTATTTATTGGTCTTCATTGAACAAATTGCTTGTTCCTTTTAAGAATTCCATGCACATCGTCTTTTAAATTCTACCCTTCTTATTCTTTTGCGGAAGATTAATTAAAGTTACATGAGTTAAATCACGGACTTTCAGACTCCTAGTTAAAATTAAAACTGCTACAATTAATTTATCATTCTAATATTTTCTCAAATTGTGTGAATTCTTCGTTGAAGAACTCACACAATGAAGAGAAATAGACAGGAACAATGACAGTCTTTGGAGATTAACTCATACTTGTATATTGTAAAACTGAATGTCGGGAATAAGGTCTGGTTATTGTTATTGTTATTGTTATTGTTATTGTTATTGTTATTGTTATTGTTGTTGTTCTTATTGTTTATTGTAAGTTGATTGTTGTGTGAAGGGGACATGGAACGACTGAGATGGACGGCCATATTGTGGCAACCCTATGTGGAGTTGTTGAACGGGTCAATAAACTTGTCTATGTGAGATCTTTGAGGGCCAGGTTTGTGCTGTTAAAAAGATTTATAGTTACAATTGCTGTTTGCAATGTGTAGTATATAATGCTAAAAGAAAAAATCTTTTGAGTCTTGATGATAATAACTGTAGGTACAAGCCAGAAGTAGGTGACATCATCGTTGGTAGAGTGATTGAGGTTATTGGATATTTTATTTTTATATTTTTTAAATGGGTTCCTCAAATATGCCTGCACATGCTTGCTTTATTGGATTATGGGTGCTATACATTGTGTTTGGGTTACCGTTGCTCCAGTATCACGCTTATAAGCATTATTATGGGGGTAAGTGGGTAACCAAACACACCACACCAAGTATTACTCCATCCTAAAAAATAATCTTGTTTGAGTAAGGTGCAACATTTTATTTATAGTCAACTCAATCAAGGTGCAATTTTTTTTTAAATTTTGAATTATCACTTAAAACCTGAAAATTCATTTCCATGATTGTTCCGCACAAGTGTGTAAACCGCCCAGCTGCTTGACTTTATAGGAATTTTAATTTTAAATGAAAATTTACATTAAAAACTGTATTTTTTTGGAAAAAAAAAGAACTTTTGAGGCAAGACTTTTTTGGGAGATGGAACGATTATATTTTTAATCTTGGGTGTGTGTGTGGGTGTGAATAGATTACATTTGTAATATAGTTTTACTCAGTTTTATCCTGTAAATCATTGTAAGGTTGTTTCAAAGAGGTGGAGGTTAGAAATAAACTCTACTCAAGATGCTGTGTTGATGCTTTCATCTATGAACTTGCCAGATGGCCTCCAGGTATTCGTCTCCTACAGTTGTTGGCATATAAAACTCAACACTGTATTATTTTCCGTTATAATAGTGTATATATATATATGTATATATACATGTTTATATTTGTTAGCTATTCGCCGGAAGTCAAGGAAACTAACATTCATTATGTCTCAGAGACGACGAACTGCAGTTGATGAACTAAACATGAGAAGTTTCTTCGAGGAGAATGATGTTGTCTGTGTATGGATTCACCACTTTCATCTAGGATAGTTTAAAGGCTTTGTTTGCCCTAGCATTTGAGGATCCAAAAGTTTTGAATTGATATTTTTGGTAGTTTTCGGCAGTGTTTTTACTTTACAGTGATTTTTAAAAATGAACATAAATTCAAAATCTCCAAATTTGAGCTATTGGAAAACTGGATATAGAAAAATCTTGTTTTGAATATAAAAATGGAAAAATTCACATGAATAATCTCATCTATTAAGGGTCTTCTCATATTAATCCCAGATATGCATAATTCCAGTATAATCTAAACAATATAGGGTAGCTTCCAAAAACAACCGGATGACCTGAATAAACCAGTTCAGCCGGTCATATGGCCAAGTGTCTTGTTTTAATTGGACTTCCTATTTTTTTCCTTTAATTTCTCTTCTTTCTTTTATTTTCTATTCCCCTTTCTTCTCTCCCTTACCTAGCTATTCTGCGGTCGTCTTCTTCCTTGAACTATGTCTTTTCTTTTCTGTTTTTTCTTTTGACCTCGTACAGTCGTACTTCTTTCTCCTCTCCTCTGCTTTTTAGTTCTTCCAATCTCTTTATTATTTCTAATTTCATCAATGTTCTATTAACCATAGCTCATAATCATGAATTCATGTCTGAATCTTGATTTTGAAATACAAACCGGCACATCCGAATCAATTTCGATAAAAACTTGGAGGTATGAAACTGAATTTGTTCAGACACGAAAAAGACGTAATCGGATTTGCAATTGAATCCTTACTAGTGAGAAGTGGCCTGGTGGGTTACTCTTTAGACCCACGAAGAGAAGAGAGTGATCTTTGTTTGCCGGCGGCCCTCTCTCCGCTTCTTTTAGGTTGGCTGCAGGCTGTTTTTTTACACCACAACTTTCTCACCATCCTCCTCATAGGCTTCTTATTCTTTTGAATTAAGAGAGCCAAAAATTTCTATCCAAACATACGGTTGAGCAAAAGACTCGAGAGGGGAACAATCCGAGAAGAAGACTAGGGAAAAGATAAGAGGAGATGAGATCGAAGGAGCAGGCGAGTAGCTGGAGTTTTTATCCAGTCGTAACCAAGAAGAGAAAAATTGGCAAAGCCGTGAAGCCATCAAGTGAGATGGATAGAAGGTTTTACCTGTAAAACAAGTTCCAAGTCATATCGGAGCATTTTGGGAAGGATGCTCGTTAAGTTGAGATTATTATGGGAGTATACATATATCGGATTAATGTTAGAAGAACGTAAATATGTGGGATTATTGATGTGAATTTTTCCTATAAAAATTCATTCTAATAAACGTCTACATATTTTTTAGAATCCAACATTACCCATATTGCACTAAAAAAACTTTTGATTGGACTGTATAAACACTTATCCACGTTTGTTCAACAAGACATTTAAACGAGAGCACTTATGATAATAGTACTTTTACACAAAATGACTTTTCTACAGTTAGGGGGGCACACGGAGCCTCAGTAATTTTTTCTTGTCTTTTCTCATTCTCCATTTATAAGTTTGAAGATATTGTTTAGGCTGAAGTGCGTGGTTTCCAGCGTGATGGTAGCCTGCAACTACAAGCTAGAAGCCAAAAGTATGGAAAGGTTTGTTTATGGAAATTGATTGCACAACATAACTATAACACACACACCTCCATTATCCGTTTTTTTCGAGTGTGCGCAACTATCATAAGCATAATTAGATTTGTTCATGTACTTTTTGCTAATTATATATATATATACACGTATATATATGCATATACTTTAACAGACATAGTTGACAGCACTGTTTTTTAATTTAATAAGGGGTCAAAATTGAAATATAAAATGTATATATAGTAAAAAATAGATTGTGCTGTAGAATCTGAGGCATTTCAATAAATACCTATCTGATTAAATTAGTTGAAAAGGATACATTTATGAAAAACAGCATGAAAATTTCAAAGATAAATAACCGTTCGTTGAATCAATTTATTTCTGTATTTGTACAACTTCGTATTATAAAATAATACGGAGTATTAAGTTACTTCATTGACACTATTCAAATTATTTTGCAGCTCGAAAAGGGTCAGCTACTTATAGTTTCTCCCTATCTTGTTAAGAAGCGGAAACAGCATTTCCATCATCTGGAGCAGTATGGGATAGACTTGATACTTGGCTGTAATGGCTTCATTTGGGTTGGGGAACATGTCGATCTAAAAGATGACACGTCAGACGATCAATTAGCTAGTGAAACGATGCAACCAAACACGACCAAATCTAGCACTCCGATGGTCCTTGATGAAGAAGACGGCGAAGAGGAAAAGTTCACTACCCAGCAAATCAGGGCATACATATGCAGAATAGCAAATGCCGTTAGAGTGTTGTCTCATTTAGGGTTCATGATAACTGTGGAGGTTCTGTTGGAGATGGTTGGCTGGAGCGAGTCATTGAATCTTGCTGTGCATGAGATGCTTGATGCAGAGTTCTATGTATTAGTTGCTGAGAAGGAAGCTGAAAGGCGAAGCAAGGTTGTCAAGAAAAGATGATTTTGCTGTGTTCATTATTCTCTATTGATGATGTTAGGATGGTTCAAAGACGAGGTTTTTGAATGCTTGGTTATGATGATTTTGACTCCCTTTGGTTTTCAGCGGGTAGGGTGCTACACGCTGCATTTTGCAGCGTTTTGTAGTTCAAGTCATTTGCCGGATTGGCGGAAATGCTGTTATCCAAACGGGCACTTTAACGTCGGACCTGAAGCTCAAAGGCTGGCTCATTTCTTCTCATTTTGTTTTCAATTACGAATTTCAAAATGGCTTTCCGGTAGTTTTTATGTTATTTTTATTGAGAACGCACCTCTATGATATAAGTTGCGACTTGCGAGTAATGTGAGACTGAGTAATTAACATACTCCGTAAGACCGTAAGGAAAAAACTTCCAAAATAATCATTTGTTATTTTATTTGTTTGTGAACTAGATTCACATATAAAAAATAGTCTTTCAAGGGGTTAGGGTTGGACCGGGATTGGGTCGACCGGCTTGGTACTGTACCGACCTGGCTTGCCAACTGGGACCGGTCCAATAGGCCCGAACCGGGGTGGGGTGGGGGTGGGTGGGCTACGGGTCAGCATATGGTGGATGGGCTCGGCCGGTCTGGGCCCATTTATATTTTGTTTTTGTTTTTTTCTTGAATGGATTGGGTCGATTGGGTGTTAGCTGGGTGGTTTAGGGGAGGGGGGAACAAATAAGAATAACCCAAAAAAAAAAAAATACAAGACCCGACCTGGGCCAGGTCCTGCCGTCCTGGAACCCACTCGGGCCGGTACCGGGCCTCCACTTCCCGGACCCGGTTCCGTCCAAAGCCCGACTTGGATCCGGTTCTGAATTGGACCGGTCAATCCTTAGAAGTTGTTCTGTTCGTCTTAATCTTATTACTTATTGCTTATTCTTATTTTATTCAGATCAGATAAAAAAATTCAGATCAGATCAGAATAATTCAGATCAGATCAGAAACATTCAGATCAGATCAGGAACATTTAGATCAGACCAGGAACATTCAGATCAGATCAGGAACATTCAGATCAGATCGGAAAAGTTCAGACATGATTTATCCCTTTTATTATAATAATAATAATTAAAATAATATTAATAATAATTACAATTATTATTATTATTATTATTATTATTAATTTATTATTATTATTATTCTTGTTGTGATTGTAATTATCATCATCATCATCATGATATTTATTATTATCATGATTATTATTATTCTTATTACTATTATGGTTGTTGTTGTTATTGTTATTAGTTTTTTTGTTGTTATTATATTACACGGAGTAATTACAATTAAAATTATAGAAATAAATATTATAATTAAAATTAAAATTATAATTATAGAAATAATTATAACTAATAATATAATTACAATTATAATTATAGTTTTTTTTTGTTTACTCCAGGAGGCGTCTGGGGGGGGGGGGGGGGGGGGGGCTGAAGAAAACAGGTTGAAACTCACCCGAGACCTCCCATAAGGGAGAGTGAGTCGATGACCAGCTGAGCTGGACCGCTTCCTCTAATTATAGCTATATTTATAACTAGTGAAATCCATATAATAATAATTATACCTATTATAATTATAATTATAATTTTTTTATAATAATGATTATAATTACATTTAAATTATATATGTGTAATTACATTTCTAATTATAATAATTAAAATTAAAATTATAATTATAATTTTAGAAATATTTAAATCAGATCAGATCAGAAGGATTCAGATCAGATCAGGAACATTCAAATTAGATCAGGAAAATTCAGATCAGATCAGGAACATTCAAATCAGATCAGGAACATTCAGATCAGATCAGGAACATTCAAATCAGATCAGAAATATTCAGATCAGACCAGATCAGAAACATTCAGATCAGATCAGAACTTAAAAAATTCAGATCAGAAACATTCAGATCAGGTGAAGAGAATAACTTCTTAGTTAGGGTGAGTATATAGTTGGTATAGGAGACACTAAAGATAGCAGATTTGATTATTATGAGTCCAAACATCTACAACTCGATTAGGGCTGGATTTGGGTCGGGTCGGGTCCGGGCGGGCCACCGGTTCTAAATAGGTGGGTCTGGGACTAGGTTGAAACTCACCCGAGACCTCCCATAAGGGAGAGTGAGTCGACGACCAGCTGAGCTGGACCGCTTCCTCTAATTATAGCTATATTTATAATTAGTGAAATCCATATAATAATAATTATACCTATTATAATTATAATTATAATTATAATTATATAATTATAATTATAATTATAATTATAATTATAATTATAATTATAATTATAATTATAATTATAATTATAATTATAATTATAAATTTTTTATAATAATGATTACAATTACATTTAAATTATATATGTGTAATTACATTTCTAATTATAATAATTATAATTAAAATTATAATTTTAGAAATATTTAAATCAGATCAGATCAAAAGGATTCAGATCAGATCAGGAACATTCAAATTAGATCAGGAAAATTCAGATCAGATCAGAAACATTCAGATCAGATCAGGAACATTCAGATCAGATCAGGAACATTCAAATTAGATCAGAACTTAAAAAATTCAGATCAGAAACATTCAGATCAGGTGAAGAGAACAACTTCTTAGTTAGGGTGAGTATGTAGTTGGTATAGGAGACACTAAAGATAGCAGATTTGATTATTATGAGTCCAAACATCTACAACTCGATTAGGGCTGGATTTGGGTCGGGTCGGGTCCGGGCGGGCCACCGGTTCTAAATAGGTGGGTTTGGGACCGGCCCGGGTCCGGTCCGGGCCCCAAGTCAATTTTTTTCTTTTCCTAATTAACCCCCCCAACCCCCCAAACCACCCCAAATGACCCAAAATACCCCAGCCCAACCCGAAAAGTTAAAAAGAATTGAAAAAAAAATTAAAAAGACCGGAACCGGTAAGGTTGGACTCGGGCCGGGTGGCCCGACCCGGAACTGTTCTGGGCTGGCCTAGTGGCCCGGTCAGTGACCGGTCAGGGTAGGCCCGACCCGCGTGGGTTTCGGTCCGGGCTTGGCCCCCCCCCCCAAATCATGAACCGGCTCGGCCGGTTCGGGCCCGGTTCCGGGCCTTTCTAAATTTGTTTTTTTCCATTTTTTTTTTACTTTTTGAGTTGGACTGGGTATTTTCGGCCATTGAGGGTGGTTTGGGGGTTAACTAGGGAAAGGGGAAAAAAAATTAACAAAGGCCCGAGGCCCGGCCCGGCCTGAACCGGAACCGGGGATTACCCGAGTCGGTTCTGGGCCCCCCATTCCAGAATCGGCGACCCGGCTGGGCCTGAACCGGCCCGAGTCCAAGACTGGGAACCGGGCCAGGCCGTTTTGGCTTTTGGGTGACCCGATCCCGCAATGGGAACCCCCTGGACCGGTCACTGGCCGGGCCACCGGGCCAGGCCGGGCCGGGCCGGTTCAGCACAGTACCGGTCCCGGGCTGGTTTCGGGTCGGGCCACCGGCCCGAGTTCAGTAACTCGATTATCAAAAGCAGAATATAAAAAACATTCCATCCGCCCCATTATACGTTGTCAACTTTCTCTTTTTTGTTATCTAAAAATACTTTTTCATTTTCCTATCAAATTAACTATTTTGTGGTTCTGCTCACCTAATTCAAAGAGTCAAACACCTTGTGGTTTGATTACATCACTATGACACTCTCAAGACGGAGGTAACACGTTCTATACACATCTTTCTGAAGGATATTTTCATTTAATAGAACATATATATACAAGTACTATGATAAAAGAGAAAGTACAACTAAAAGAAATTCAAAGAGTGCAAAAGACCGTGTCGGGACGGAACTATGGAAATAGTATTTAGGGGGGTGTTTGGATCTGATTCTTAAAACTGTTTCTGATCCTTCAGGGAGCAGAAGCAGAAGATGAAGTGTTTAAGTGAAAGTGCAGAAGTGATTCTGGTGCTCAAATTTACTCATAGAATCAGTTTTTCGAGAAGTTGAGGATGACCAACTTTTGAAAATTGATTCTGATTTTCCTTCTGCTTTAAAATAGAAGCAGAATTAGTTCCAAACACCTCTTACTTTTATATTTTTCGTATTTGATTTGGTCATTTGATAACTTCCTGGGCTTATCATCTCAGATTCGGCCCATCTTTTCGAATGGAGCGGAGAAAATGGAATCGCTCTGTTTCAGACCTCGACGTCTTTTATTGATAAAAACCCTAGTCTCAGTGGGAGTGGCGAAGGAAATCCAAGACGTCGACAATGGCAACTTCATACGCCTACGAAGATGGCGCCTACTCGGCCAAACAGCAGCATCCAGATTCTGCAGTCGACGCGTACGACCCAAGCTTTGTCCCTGACCCGGTGAAGTCGTTCGTGGGGCATCTATACAGGCATATTAGGGATAAGAATGTATACGAGATTCACCAGATGTGCGAGACCTCTTTCCAGAGCCTCAGTGAGCGCATGTTCAAGGACACTCCATGGCCCTCTGTCGATGCCATCGCGCCTTACGTCGATAACGACCACGTCTTCTGCTTGCTTTATCGAGAAATGTGGTTTCGCCACCTCTATGCTCGACTTTCCCCGACTCTGAAGCAGCGCATCGATTCATGGGACAATTACTGCGCCTTATTCCAGGTCTAACAAAGTTCATGTTTTTATTGCAATTCACGGGACTTTAAAAAGTTCATGCCACAGGGAAGATGCACATTCCGAGTTTTGAGCATGTTTAGTCAGCTTGAAGCTGGTATTTAGAGTATATTATACGTAGTATATATTATTGGATAAGGTTCATGCAAATAGAGAGACTATATTGAGAGTGGCAGAAAAATTTATTTGCATTTTTAAATGTATTTACGCATTGGTTTTATCACCAAAGGCAAAAGCTAAAATGGCTTATAATTATCACAAGCCCCATCTTCCACCAAACACCATCTGTACACCTTAAAGTGTGTAATAAACAGAATATTAATATTGATCTACCTTATAATAGTTTGATCGTGGAATCGCGGATGCTAGGATTGTGTATCATCAAGTTTTTGAAAGGTGAAATTTGGCCTTGAGGTGGTTGTCTCTCCCTCACTATAAAGCTAATACATAGTAATAGTAAATAGGGACAGTACATAGTAATAGATAAACCACAGTGACAGTTCAGTAGCGAATGGACTTGATGTGTTGAAATAAATTACACACTAGCATGCTCTTAAAAGGACAAAACAGTAAGTTAGGATTTAGGAAACGATACATATCCATGTCAAGCCACAACAAAAACACACAATATGCAAAAGCCTTAAAAATCAAAATTTAACTACTAATCTTCAATACTAATCGACTCATCCATTACATTACTATGTAAAATTATCTTCAATTCTATCACCTTCCATATTATAAGCTTTGAAAGGACAAGAGATTACCGACAGAGTGAGATAGGGGCTGTAGTAGAATAGGAGGCAAAAAACAC